AACCAGCTAGGGCAAGACTCATTCTTTTTTTATAGCCAAGTAATATTTAATAAGATTTCATTATTTTTTATGGCCAAGTAATATTTCATTATATATATACCGCTACTATTTTATCCACTTGTCTGTCTCTCTCTCTCTCTCTTTCTTTTTTTTTTTTTTGTTAATCCTTAACTGAGGATATTCTTCCATTTTTCCAATGATGATATTCTTCCATTTTTCCAATGATTTTTAGAGAGAGTGGAAGGGAAGGGGAGAGACAGAGAGAGAGAAACATCAATGTGAGAGAGACACATCAATTGGCTGCCTCCCGCTCGTGCCCTATCAGTGCTGGGGATTGAGCTTGCAACCAAGGTACATGCCCCTGACTGGAATCAAACCTGGGACCTGTCAGCCACAGGTCGATACTCTATCCACTGAGCCAAACCGGCTAGGACTCGCCTTTTGAAGAGCACTAAGGTTGCTTCCATTCTTGGCTATTGTAAATAATTCTGCAATGAACATAGGAGTGAATTTATTTGTTCAGGTTAGTGTTTTGAGTTTCTTTGGATATATGCCCATAAGTGGAATGACTGGGTCATAAGGCAGTTCCATTTTTAATTTTTGAAGAATCTTCATACTGTTTTCTTTAGTGTCTGCACCAGTCTGCATTCCCACCACCAGTGCATGAGGCTTCCCTTTTCTCTATATCCTCGCCAACACTTGTTGTTTGTTGATTTGTTGATGATAGCCATTCTGACGGGTGTGAGGTGATACCTCATTGTGATTTTAATTTGCATTTCTCTGATGATTAGTGTCTTTGAGCATCTTTTCATGTGTCTATTGGAAACTATATGTCCTCTTTAGAGAACTGTATATTCTGGTCCTCTACCAATTTTTTAAAAAATATATTTTATTGATTTTTTACAGAGAGGAAGGGAGAGGGATAGAGAGTTAGAAACATCGATGAAAGAGAAACATCGATCAGCTGCCTCCTGCACACTCCCCACTGGGGACGTGCCCGCAACCAAGGTACATACCCTTGACTGGAATCGAACTTGGGACCCTTGAGTCCGCAGGCTGACGCTCTATCCACTGAGCCAAACCGGTCAGGGCCTCTACCTATTTTTTAACTGGATTGTTTGGGTTTTTTTGGTGTTGAATTTATGAGTTCTTTATAAATTTTGGATATTTACCCCTTATAGTTGATTAATATCTTCTCCCATTCGATAGGTTGTCTTTTTGTTTAGTTGATGGTTTCCTTTGCTGTGCAAAAAAATGTGTGTGTGTGTGTGTGTGTGTGTGTGTGTGTGTGTGTGTATAATTGATTTCAGAGAGAAAGGGAGAGGAAGAGAGAGATAGAATCATCAATGATGAGAGAGAGAATCATTGATCCACTGCCTCCTGCATGCCCCCTACTGGGGATCGAGCCCAAAACCCAGGCATGTGACCTTGACTGGAATCAAACCCAGGACCCTTCAGTCCACAGGCCGATGCTCTATCCACTGAGTCAAAGCAGCTAGGGCGCTGTGCAAAAATTTTTAGTTTGATGTTGTCCCATTTGTTTATAATTTCTCCAGATGGCTTGATGGGATATTTTCCAGGGCATAGGAACAGAAAAGGTGGGCAGATTAATCCAGAGAAGGGTTTTACAGTGTGCACAAAGCTGAAGACAAGTCAACAAGGATACTGACTAGTGAGGGTATGAAGTGAGGCCATGAGTTTGGGCCAAATAGTGCAGGAATGAAGCAGGCTACAGTAGGAAAAAAAATTGAAAGGCTAAAGGTACTGTAGTAAGGCAAGGGACAGGTGTAAAGAGAAGAGAGGAATCAGGGTGTTAGACCAAAACTGTGGTTAGAAAGTGGGAGATTAGAGTTTATGTTTCCCAAGTTGGAATAAATCTGAATGATGAGAAAATCTAAGGTATGGCCTTGGGTGTGAGCAACTTATTGAAGTGGAGGTGCGTATCCCTGGAGCTGAGGATAATAAGTACTGTGAGGTTAGGACAATGGATAGTTCATTAACATTAGCACGGAAATCACCCAAAATGAGGGAGTTAAGGGATGGAGAGCAAGATGCTGAACCAGGAGCCCAGGTGTTTGATGAACATAGAAGACAGAAGAGTAGACTGGTGGATGGCATGATGAGAGGGGAAGACACTGAAAGCTGGAACAGTTTTAACATAGAGGTAGTGGCCTACTGGTGCCTTATATGTGTATTGAATTAAGCTGAATCGAAACGCTTGCTGGGTTAGTTTCAGGAAGTGCCAAAGCGAGCCCCAGCTGCCATTTTCTAGAAGAACCTCGAGTCACACATTAAAGTCAGTACAGAAGGAGTATTGCCTAAGTTGTAGATTCAAGAAGCGATCCAGAGAAGAAATATCAGCAGGTTGGCTATTGGGCTATCCCTCTGGGCTCCACCCAGCCCGCATCTCTTGTCCTGAGCTGATGACTGACAATTTCATTCCTCCCCTCCCTCTCCGGGCACTTGCCAGTGCCAGCTCTCTGCTCCCCGACACCGTTTTGGCAGGAAAAGTCAGCCAGCCATCTCGGGCTGGCGCCATTCCCAGGAGAAGCCAGAGCAGAGACTCCGAGATGAAGCTGAAGGAAGCACATTTCAGGCGCACTTCTCTGCACTGAGCAAGGGCTCATTAGCCAAAATGATCATCTTCCCAGGCCCCTTCTCAGACCAACTTAAAAATAGCCTGAGCTGTGTCTCCACCCTTTCACACAAGAGTGCAAGTCGCTTCCTGCTCAGACGGAACCCACCCCAACCTCAGCCCTTCTAGAGCACAAGCCCCATTCGCGCCTGCCTTCTCCTTGTGGCTGATGTGAACACACTCACGGCTCCCTTCCAGGACACTACTCTCTCTTGTTCGCCTCCTCCTCCACTAGCTGCTTGTTATTCAGCCTCCTGTGCAGGTTCCTCCTCATTAACTTGACCTCTAAAAGTTGGAGTGTCCCAGTTCTCAGCCCTTGATCTCCGCCTCCTCCCTACCTACACTCATTTCCTTTGTGATCTCAACAAGCCTTATGGCTTTAAGACACTAATCACTGAAAAACACCAAATGTATATCTCTATTCCTGAGATAGTCTTACGTATCCAGTTTTCCCGTTGGTATCCTACTTGGGTACCAGTAGGATCTCCAACTTAACATGCTCAGAATTGAAGTTGTTTCCCCATCCTCCCCGGGCACGCCTGCTCTCCCTGCAGCCTACACCCATCTCTGTCCATGGCAACTCTATCCTACCAATTGCTTAGGTCAGATACCTTGGAGTCAACTGAACTCCTCCCTTCCTCTCACAGTCCAATTGCAATCTATCAGCAAATCCTGTCAGTTATACTTTCAAAAGACACCGGGAATTTGGCCACTTCTCACTGCTTCTACCCCCCAGCACCATGAACAGGCCATCATCATGTCTTGCTTGAATAATTGCAATAGCCTTCTAGCTGGAATCTGCTTCTACCTATTCCAAACAGCAGCCGGAATAATCCTCTTAAAAAGTTAAGTCCTGGAGATCATGTCACTCCCCCATGCAATCCTCCATCTCATTCAGAAAAACAGCAAATCTACTTACAACGGCCTGGATTGATCTGCCTCGCTAACCCTCTGGGTCCTCATCTCCCACAACTTTCTCCCTCCTTCACTCCGCTTCAGCTACACTGGCCTCCTTGCTGTTTCTCCAAGGGTGTTCCTGCCTCAGGGCCTTTGTATTCACTACTTCCTCTGCCCGGAACATGCTTCCCCCATGTCCACGTGGTTTGCTCTCTCACTTCCTTCAAGTCTTTATTCAAAAGTCATTCTTCTCAGTGAGGCCTTTCCCATCCACCCTATGTAAATATATGAAATACACTATGTCAGCATCCTACCCCTTCTATTCTTTCAGTTGTACTCCATCGACTCATCTTTGTTACTTACTAAATGTAAACTCAATGAGAGCAGGTACTTTCTGTTTTGTTCATTCCTGGATCCCCTATGCCTAAGAGAGTACCTGGCCCACAGAAGGTACTCAATAAATATCTGTGGAACCAATGTCATTCAATTCAACTGGCTGTAGGGAACCCTCCACATCCTACAATCCTCTGGTTACCAACACAAGTACAATCGTTTTTGTAACGAAAACCTTTTCTCTCAAGCTCTTCTAGAAGCACAACTTTAAAAAAGCAATGAGTTTGTCTGGGCTCTTGCATATTTACACCATCATCTATCTAATCCCAGTAGACACGGCCCTTGCCTTCTCTTCCTTTGCTTCCTAGTTCCTGTAAAAAATCACCAACGGCTGGTGACCTAGTTGCAGATGAATATAACTATTAAACATCAGCTCTCAATAAAAATTACTGGTGTGTTTATTCTTTCATAGAGCAGAGGAATGTGTTATAATCTTCTTGTAACTATGTGAGTCTCTTCACCAAATATATTTAAATGATGAAGCAAGTGTCTTGAAATATAGTTTTCTACTGATCAGCTTTTCAGGAGATCTCAGTTGTGGTCCCAGCACTACCATGGAATTGCCACAACTCTGGGAACTCCCCCTGAGTTCTCCAGTATTCTCCTAGGGGAAATGTAGACTTTGGATTAGATGACCACTAAGACCCTTCCTTTTTAAAAAATTTTTTTTAATTGGTTTTAGAGAGGAAGGGAGAGGGTGAGAGAGAGAGAAACATTAATGATGAGAGAGAATCATTGATTGGCTGCCTCTTGCATGCCCCCCATGGGGGACTGAACCCCAAACCCTAGGCATGTGCCCTTAACCAGAATCGAACCCGGGACCCTTCAGTCACAGGCTGATGCTCTATCCACGGAGCCAAACCAGCCAGGGCTAAGACTCTTTCTTGATCTAAAATTGTGGTTTCCTTGGAAGAGAAGAGTTCCTATTCTCAAGTCACTACAAATGCAGGTGGTTATCTCATTGGCTTTCCCAAAGAAACATTGGTTATGCCAAAGAAACAGGGTCACAAGACAATATGACCTTTATATTGGTCAGGACTTTTCTGTTAGGGGTATAAACCCAACTCAAACTGGCTGAAGTGAATAAGGGTATTTATTTGCACTGACAAGTTGAAATTCCAGGGGTAGAGCCTTTTCTGGCAAGCTGGGTTCTAGGGCTTATGGGATATAAGGGGGACCCAGTCTCTCTCCATCTTCTGGCTCCACTTTTTTCTGTATTGGCCTCATTTTCAGTAGGCTCTCCCGAGCAGCATCACAACGACACATGCCAGCTTCAAATCCAAGAGAAAAAAAGGCTTCCCAAGAATTCTGGGATCTTCTTTAAACGGAATCTCATTGGTTTGGTGTGAGTCACATGGTCCTTCCTGAACCAATCACTATGTCCAGGGAAACAGACAGATTAGCCACATTAGTATCCATTCTCCAATGGAGCTGGGGTGGGGGTGGGGCCAGCCCACCCAATCCACATGGACTGACAGTGGCAGAAGGATAGATGTCAAAAGGAAACTCAGGGGGCTAGTAACAGAAGAAGGAAGGTTGGATATTAGACAAGTGAAAATAACAGATAAAATCATAATTAAGTTATGATTTTCCTGTAGGTACTATATTAATCTCCCATGGCTGCTGGGTGGCCTAAAACAATAAAAAATTATTCTCTCGAGATTTTAGAGGCCAGAAGTCTGAGATCAAGGGTTTGACAGGGCCATATTCGCTCTGGAAGCTCTAGGGTAGAATTCCTTCTTTGCCTCATCTAGCTTCTGGTGCTGTCAACATTCTTTGACTTGTCCTATATCACTCTAATCTCTGCCTCTGTGGTCACACTGCCTCCTCCTCTTCTGTTTTTTTCAAGTCTTCCCCTTATAAGGACACGTCATTAAATTTAGGGCCCACCCAAATAATCCAGAATAATCTCATTAAGATTCTTAATGACTCTCTAACCACCAAGCCAAACTGGCCAGGGCTGTATTAATATTGATAATAGTTCATAATCAAGAACTCAAATGGAGCCTTAAGCGGTTTGCCTCAATAGATAGAGCATCTGCCCATGGACTGAAGGGTCCCAGGTTCAATTCGTCAAGGGCACATACCTTGGTTGCAGGCTGGCCCTAGTTGGGACACATGCAGGAGACAACCAATCAATGTGTCTCTCTCACATCGATGTTTCTGTCTCTCACTCTCTTTTCCACTCTCTTTAAAAAATCAATGGAAAAGTATTCTTGGGTGAGGATTAACAAACAAACAAAGAACTCGAATGGAAAGTCACTGGCAAGAATATGCCACAGGCCTTAACCGGTTTGGCTCAGTGGATGGAGCGTCAGCCTGCAGACTGAAGGGTCCCAGGTTTGATTCCAGTCAAGGGCATGTACCTTGGTTGTGGGCACATCCCCAGTGGGGAGTGTGCAGGAGGCAGCTGATCGATGTTTCTCTCATCGATGTTTCTAACTCTCTATCCCTCTCCCTTCCTCTCTGTAAAATATCTATAAAATATATTTTAAAAAAAGAATATGCCACAGAAAAGTATTTTCAAACCTGATTTCTTTTCTTAGTTCAAATGAGTAAAACACATTCAAAATCTCAACCACTGGCCTTTTCTTGACTAGGTAAATGGTCGTAGGAACCTCAGTCTCCATTAGAGATAAACAAGATAAAAATCTTGTGACTAAATTAACAGGAGCTCCTACTCCTCAAAGTAGACAACAGCGGAATACATGTTTTCAAATAGATGTCATTTTGTCCCCTATTTCCACCCACATTCAGCCCAAGCAGCTGCCCTTTCTGGTTGCTCAGGTTGGACCGGGAACTCACTGGTTGCTGGTATTTTCCCTGGAGGCATCGTGGCAGCAATTCTGGATTCAGATCCTCAGATATCACTGGGGCTGGGCAGGTGGCTCTGTGCTTTATCAGTGGGATTAGTCTCACAGGTGTTTCACAAGGCTGGGGACTGGGGACTGGGGACTGGTGAGGAGTCTGATCCCTTAGCCTGCCCCCCTCCCCTATTCAGGAACTAAGGGGCATCTATCCTCATATAGGTTCTCGGGTGCTTTTTCTACTAGAAACAGTAGGGTGTGAGAAGGACGAGAAGAGTTGGGTGTCATGATTTCTGCATCCAGGGAACATACTCAGCTTACACCTGGCACACAGGAAGCGAACTGTGTGTACATTGGGAGTGTGAATTTCCAGTGTCGGAAGCAGAGCGATCTAATAGAAAGAGCTCTGGCCGGGGACACTGGTGGGCAGATCCTTCTCTGTCACCACCTGGCTCAGTGACCTTAACTGGCACCTCCCTTCTTGTGCTCTGCAGTCCCCCACATTTCAACAAGAGGATTGGACCAGATGCTCTCTGAGGCGTCTTCTAGCTTCACGATCTCTCAGAGGCGCACACAATTACACCCTCCAGGCTGAGAATCTGGGATACCTGTAAGGTTCGTTAGCTGCTTCTTTTTCCAGAAAGCTCTCTCCCACACACCCCGAGGTTGCGGATGTAACCAGGACCCTAAAGAAGATCCCAGTTATGCCAGTATCAGTCATTCATCAAACATGAATTGGGTGCCCCCAGGTGCCCGCTGGAGCTACACAGATGAGCGGGGTGGAGGCCCTGCCCGGAGGAGCACACAGCCGAGTGAAGGGGACAGATGAGTGCATGACGGATTGCATCGCGGTGCGATAAGTCCCACTATAGGGTTATTAATGAGGCTGCCTGACACATGGAGGATGGACACATAAATCTGTCTGGGGTGGAGTCAAGAAAGGCTTCCTGGGAAAGGTGACACCTGGGCGGACACTGCAGGGTGAGCAGGAGTTACCTGGGCCGAACAGGGATCAAATCCCTCATGGTGCTCACAGCAAGGATGCCCACTCCACAGGTGCTTGCAAACTGCCATGGACCCATTGCTGCCTCTAAAGCAGCGGTTCTCAACCTGTGGGTGGCGACCCCTTTGGGGGTCGAATGACCCTTTCACAGGGGTCGCCTAAGACCATCGGAAAACACATATATAATTACATATTGTTTTTGTGATTAATCACTATGCTTTAATTATGTTCAATTTGTAACGATGAAAAATACATCCTGCAGATCAGATATTTACATTACGATTCATAACAGTAGCAAAATTACAGTTATGAAGTAGCAACGACAATAATTTTATGGCTGGGGGTCACCACAACATGAGGAACTGTATTAAAGGGTCGCAGCATTAGGAAGGTTGAGAACCACTGCTCTAAAGACAGGTGTCTCTCCCGTTGTCTGTTCCCCTCGACCTGACACACGGATGGAAACAGTGTGCGCCTCACCGAAGCCCAGGGGAGCCCAGCTTTGACACAGCCCGGAGCCGGCAGAGCGTGGGCCCAGCAGCGGCACTTTGACACGCCCGTATCGGATGCTTGCAACCTGTGTTCTGTGCACAGAACACACTTCCTCCTCTGCTTTTTCTTTCCCTTTCCCTTTTCTGCTGAAAGTTTGGGGGAAGGCACATAAAAGCTCTTGGCTTCTGAGTGTCTTTCTAAGGTCTCCTCTGATTCTACTTAGTCACGGCAGGCTTCTTGGAGGAAGTGCTCAGAAAGAAAGGTGAGGACTAGCTTGACTAATGAGGCTGGCATCTTAGCAAGAGGAGTCTCCCAGGGCCCCTTGCTACCCACGCCCAAGCCACCACCCTTCCCTGCACTTGACCTTTGCTCCTCTCCTTACCTCCCGCCAAGTAGAACCAGGTTCGACCAAGTCCTCTTTTCCGTTTAGTGGCTGGGCATGTCCCTCCGGTTCGTGGTTCGCAGCTTTAAGCCAAACTGGTTCCGGCGCCCAGCATCTGGACTTGGGGACCTGCATGCTGCGGCTCATTCTGGCTGTGAACTACCTTGGAGGCGGCGCCCTGGCTCCGCCCCCTCCCGCCGCAGGTTCAAGTGTGGGCTGGGAGCTGGGCGGTGAGGAACACTCCCGGCGCGCACAGCAACCTGCTCCCTGCTCGGCCTCCAGGCTGCCGGCGGCGGGGCCGGAGGGACGGGACCGGGAGCGGTGCTGAGCGGTCCGGCCCCGCGCGTCCCAGCCCTCGCCGCGCCGGTCTCCAGTCCCCAAGTTCACGGGCGCCCCAAGAGGAGTCGGCTCGCGCAGGAGGCAGGTGGCGCCGGCTGGGGCTGGGGCTGGGCGGCGTGGAGCTCGCTCGGCCCCGCGAGGGTTAAGCCGTGCCGGCTCCTGCTGCCCGGCTGGCGGCCAGCTGCCTCCAGGGAGAGGCCGGAGCCGCTGCCCGGAGGGACCCGGAGGGACGCCGTCAGCCGGGGGTGCACCTACCTCAGACCCCCTCCCCGCCCCCATCCCAGCCTCCAGGAGGAGCAGAAAGTGGGGGCTGCGGGTGGGGAGCCCCTGCCAGCTCAGCCCCCGGGGTGGCTGGAGAGCCAGGGGGGCAGCGAGACGCGGAGATGGCCGATGAGCCCGCCTGGCTGGACCTGCTGGGCCGGTGGACCTACGGAGTGGACCCCGGTGGGAGAGTCTTCTTCATCAAGTATGTCGTCCGTCTCGTTGATTTCTGATTTCTTTAAAGTTGTCGAACTTGAAAGGCGGCGGGGCTGGGGGCGGCTGGCTGGCGAGGGCAGGGGGGAGCAGGGGCTGGAACAAGGGGCATGACTAACAAGTTTATCACATGCCGGTTTGAATGGGTCTCCCGCCTTTTCCTGGGCGTTCAAAGTCCAGCACAGACTCAGCATTCTGAGGGCTGGAAGGGCAGGGCCAGGCAGGGCAGGTGCCGGCCTTCCCCCTCCTCCCGCCTCAGACCCGAAGGGGAGGACGACCGGACCCGGGGCCCAGCCTGCAGCTTTTTCTCCTCAGTGCGGTCCGCTGAACCGGCCAGGGCTGAGTTCTTTCTTTTTCTTTGTTGTCCCCCACCCCCCTCCTTAAGGGAAGACTTGGGCTAAGTGACAAAACATCAGGGGGCCCTGCTCCTACCATCCAGGTCCTGGCATATCCTCACCCCAGGCCCGCCGCCTCTCCTTCCTGCTTCTTTCTGGGGCTGTGGTCCAGAGGAGGGAGGGGACGCCCGCAGCACATCAGCATTCTTCAGAGAGCGAGCCTCTGCTGCTCGCAGTAATATATTAGCACTGTTATATTAATTCCATAAACCGAAATGGCTCTGGCATAATCTCATTATAACAGAGTGGCCCCGCTGGCGCTATTTTGGCCGCTCGTACCGTAGTCATGCTTTGCCAGGAGAGAAATCTCCCGAGGATACAGCAAGTCTACAAGCGCAGCATCCTGAGCTGTTCCCCACCCAGGAGGAGTTGTCCCTTCCTCAGGAGAGCTCCTCAGAACAGGAGAGCGGCGGGCATCTCAGATGCACCCCCTCCGTCTTCAGATGGGGAAGCGAGGTCCTCCTCGGGCGGAAGGTACTCATCTGAGATACAGCCACTTGTTAGCAGGGCTCGGATTCAGGCCGGTAGCTGCTGACGGTAGCCATTCCCCTTCCCCGCCTGTGCAGGTGGCCAGCGATTTCCCTCTAGTGTTTCTCAGTTCCCTCATTTGCTGTTGGCCTTTCTTCCGTAATTATCATCCCTATGATCCTAATTGAGGTTGCAATTAGATTATCTTAGAAATGACCGCCATTGAAGTTCTTGATCCTGGGTTAGATTCTTAAATAACAGAAATCCCTCAGTATTAAAACTGGAGTTTCTGCTGTCCCTGGTTTGAGACTTTATTGCCCGTAAGAATCACCCGAGGAATTTATGAAAAAGGCCGACCCTGATGCTACCTGCAGGCGTTTAGAAGGCCTAGGGTGGGGCCTGGGGATCTGAATTTCCACAAGTTCCTCAGTCATTCTGATCAGGATTAATGTGACTCTCATCTTTCTTCCCAATCTCATTTGCCTTCTAGCTTCTCTTCTTTCTTTCTTTCTTTTTTTTAAAGATATATTTTATTGACTTTTTACAGAGAGGAAGGGAAGAGGGATAGAGAGTTAGAAACATCGATCAGCTGCCTCCTGCACACCTCCTACTGGGGATGTGTCCGCAACCAAGGTACATGCCCTTGATTGGAAATGAACCTGGGACCCTTCAGTCCTCAGGCTGACGCTCTATCCACTGAGCCAAACTGGTTAGGGCTCTTCTTTCTTTTTTAAAAAAATGTATTTTTATTGATTTCAGAGAGGAAGGGAGAGGGAGAGAGAGATAGAAACATCAATGATGAGCAGGGATCAGCTGCCTCCTGCACACCCCACGCTGGGGATAGAGCGTGAAACCTGGGCATGTGCCCTGACCGGGAATCAAAACATGACCCCCTGGTTCATAGGTGGACACTCAACCACTGAGCCACGCCGGCTGGGCTTCTCTTCTTCTTTCATTCCACAAACTTTTATTGAGTATCCACTGCTTTTCTGCCGTAGGGCTAGGCATTGGAGATAAGGAAGAAAAAAAAAAAGGAAAAAAACAGGTTTTTTTTCTTGAAGGGGGTAGGAAGAAAATGAAAATAAATACTTAGGAAATAATAGGATCCATTCTAGAGGTGTTTTCTTGGTGCTCCAGGAATACAAGGAAGAAAGAACGAATGTTCTCCAAGGAGGAAACATTTGAGCTGCTTCGAGAGGAGAGAGACTAGAATGAGAGGGGCCTCGAAGCAGAGGCCAATGGGAAGGAGGGCATGCTGGGTGCCAGGGCACAGGTTATCTAGGACATGAGGGGGGGCCTAGAGATGGAGTGGAGGTAGCAGAAGATGTGGTAGGACAAGGGGTCTGAACCTGCTTCTGTAGGTGAAGGGGAACCAAAGATTTTAAACAGAGGATTGGCATAGTTAGAGCTGCATTTTAGAAGGCTCCCTCTGGCAGCTGCATGGACGGAAGATGACTTGAGGGTGGAGAGCAGTTAGGAAGCAATGGCAGAAGGCCAGCTGATGGGGAACTGAATTGGGATGGTGAGAACAGAAGGGAAGGAGAGGGAGAGGGGGAGAAAGAGGAGTGGAACTGAGAGCAATCACGTACTGCCTGAATGTTGCGGAAGGGAGGAAAAAGGAAGATTTGAAGATAAATCTCAGAATTGTTTACTTCAGGTTGACAGAGATCAGGAGTATGGGGAGAGGAACAGATTTTAGGGGAGATAAGTTCAGTGGGAAAATTCCAAACTTGAAGTCCCTGTGGGAAGGTGACAAATAGGACAGAGCTTAAGGGAAAGGCCTGGGCTGGAGAGTCCTGAGAGTCATCATGTGGGAGTGGAACCACCCAGGAGTAGGTGAGAGAGAAGACGGGAGGGCACCCAGGCAGCACCCATGTTTAAGGAAAGGACGGAGGGAAGAGAGGATGGAGCAGAGGACCAGGGGTCACAGAGGGGGACAGCGCCAGGGCCAGGGGCGGGTGCTGCCTCAGGAGGTGAGGAAGGAAAAGTGTCCACTGGGTTTAGGAGCTGCGGGGGTCTTTAATGACCACCAGGAAAGTGGTTTCAGGGGAGGGCTCGACACAGAACCAGCCTGCAGGGATTGCTGAGTGGGAGACCAGGAAGTGGGGACAACTAGAGGGACTGGTTTCCAAGAGGAATGTTTGGTCACTTAGAAGAGGAGCATGAGACAGGAGCCGGAAGAGGAGGCAGCATTGAGAGGGAGGCCGAGGGTCAGACCGTGGAAGACACGAACAGGAGTGAGGGCTACAGGGATGGACCTGACAGGGAGAAGGAAGCTGAAGACACCAATCTTCACTAGACTGTAGATGCCCAATAGAATTTGATTCTATAAAAGATAGGGGAGGGTGGTGACTACCCCCTCGGCAGAGGGATTCGCCTTAATGGAGCAGGCAGCCTCTTCTCCAACGGGAACATGGCTACGTTTGGGAGATGGGGTGGTTAGGTCCACTAGGAAAGGTTCTGCCCATGCTTTCTATTTTGTGTGAAATAAGAGATAAGACATCCATTGAGAAGGGGTGGGTGTGGGTGGGTGGGGAAGAGGCAGGCGCGAGCCTTGAGGTTGGTGGGAAAGCCTTAGAACAATCAGCAAATGGCAACTGACTGGAGCCCCTGAAGAAGATACTAGGGCCCAGCCAAGCTTGGAGACTGGATTTGCAGTGACATCAACCCTCCCAGTTCCACAGGGTCCCCGTGAGCCCAAAGCTGGAGTGGAGATAGCCTGTGACTGCATTGTTCTGGGCCAGGGGCTGACACCAGGAGGGCCCGGGGAAGAGGAAGTTGAGGGTGTGGTGGGGCTGTGCCCACCCCGGTGACCTCATGATTATTCATGATCCGGGCAAACTGAGGGACTGACAGTGTGAGAGCAGGAGAGGGATCAGGGGCCAGAAAGTGTCAGGGTGGCAGGGAGGAGGCCCAAGAACCAATTCCCCTCACACTTACAAGTCAGCGCTGGCTGGATTTACTCTCCCTCAGCCGCCTCTCCCATTGCCTCCCAGGACCAAAGCCCAGCCCAGAGGTCATCCCAAAGGCCGCCCAATGTTTCCAGGGTCCCCGGGCCACCGAGCAGTCACTTTGTTCCCTCTCTCCTCTCCTCATTCGAGGGGCGGGTGAACTGGGGAAGCTCCTGCAGAGGGTGTCCAAACTTAGGGAAGAATTAATGGAGTCAAGCCTATTCCACACCAAGATTTGGACCTGGATGTTCCTAGCAGCTTCCTTTGTAATGGCCCCAAACTGAAAACAACCACAGTGGTTATCAGCAAGCAAGTGGAGGAACACACGACCCTATATCCTACGATGGAATGCTACTCAGTAATGAAACGGAACGAACTGTTAACTCCTGCTACCACATGGGAGGGACTAAGGAAGAAAAGAAGGAAAGCCACAAAGGGGTCTAACTTGTATGATTCACTTATATAATACGCTAGAAACTCTAGAAAATGCAAACTAACCTGTAGTAACAGGAAGCAGACTCGTTGCTGGGGGGAGGGGAAGGTTAGTAAAAGCTGTGTGTGGGTGGGGCTGTGTAGAGAGGAATTACCACGGGGCAAAAAGAAAATTTGGGGGAATTCATTTCTTGATTTTTGTGGTAGTTTCATGAAACTTTAAATTAAACCAGACGTTTTAAGCATGTGCAGTTTATTATATATCTTGCTTCGCTAAACATTTTGCGAGTCCTTCTTACTAGAGTTTGTTATGTTAATCAAAGTATTAATTATAGCTTAAAAGCACTGAATGTCCTGGGCCCCAAGGACCCCCCCACCTCATAACCTGGATGACACAGGTGGCCTGAGAGGCCTCTCCTCCACATACCTGGATTGGCCAAGAAGGTAGGGGAGAGGGCAGTGCCCCTTGGCTGGTGTGGGCCGAGAAATATCGACGGGTCATCTGCCCTCAGATCCTCGGCTAGAGCGCAGAGGATCTGCACTGTGGGGAGCCCACCCTGGTGGGAGGAAGATATTAGAAAAACTCAGCCCTAACTGGTTTGGCTCAGTGGATAGAGCGTCGGCCTGTGGACTGAAAGGTCCCAGGTTCGATTCTGGTCAAGGGCATGTACCTTGGTTGAGGGCACATCCCCAGTAGGAGGTGTGCAGGAGGCAGCTGATCAATGTTTCTCTCTCATCAATGTTTCTAACTCTCTATCCTTCTCCCTTCCTCTCTGTAAAAAATCAATAAAATATATTTTTTTTAAAAAGAAAAGCTCAGGTTTTACGGGGTATGGATCTGGGTCTGAATCCTGGCTTCATCACTGACGGATGGTGTGGCTTTGGGCCAATGACGGCACCTCTCTGAACCTCACGTTCGTCATCTGCAAAATTCCTGATGTGAGGGAATGTTGTGAGTGAAAATACATGGTGTTATAGACACCCAGGGACTGCTGGCTCACCCGCCTCCTCCTTTCTTATCCACCGAGGAGCTGCCACTTGGGGACCTTCCCTGTTCTTCCCATGTGACTTTACCGTCACCTCAGATGTCACCTCCCTAGCGAAGCCCTCGTGCTGTTCCTCGTCTCAACTTCATCCCAGTTAGTGCTCCTTCTCTGTGGCGGGACAGCACTGTGCTCGGCTGTAACAGGGGTTCTGCTTCCTATCACATCCCAATGTAATCTGATCGCTGAACATTGAGGTGCCATTGACATACAGCCTGATATTATGCCGCTGTCTTTCTATATGTTTGTTTCTTTGGGGTCAGGGATCAGACAGTGTTCCTCTCTGAATCCTCAGCGCCTGCTCAGTAAATGTGAATGAATGAATGAATGAATGAATGAAGGGCATGTGGATACTCCATCTCAGGTGTCTGGGATCGGACTGTCAGTGTTGATGTGAACTTGCAGGCAGGTCTCTTGAAGCTGACATTTTCTTATTGGTTTTCTATAGTGATGAGGAAAAGTCAACCAGTTGGGTGCACCCTGGTACGAAATCCCCCATCCAGAGTGGATACTGCTCCAGCCCAGGTAAGAAGCTCCTCTGCCCCTGTTTTTGCAACAGAAAAGGAAGCAGGGGTGTCCATCAGTAGATGAGAGGATGAAAAGCAGTGGCACATGTACACAGTGGAACGCTACTCGGCCGTAAAAAGGAAGAACATCTTACCCTTGGCGACAGCATGGAGGGACCTGGAAAACATGACGCTAAGTGAAATAAGCCAGTCAGAGAAAGACAAGTACCATAGGATTTCACTCATATGTGGACTCTAATGGACAAACCGAATTACCAAGCAAAATAGAGACAGACTCATAGAGAGCAGACACACAGCCCTAGGGGGAGGAGGCTGTTGGGGGGAGTGGAGGGTTTGAGCAAAAAAGAAAAAAAGAGAGAGAGAACTCGTGGACACGGACAACAGTGAGGTGATTGCCATGATGGGGGATGGATGTAGACGAGGGCATAGAGGGGCTAAATGGTGATGGAAAAAGAAAGTAAGCTTTTAAGAAACAATAAAAGGACGCAATAGCTTGAGGTGGCAGGAGGACTCTGCTTCCGGCCTTTCCTTCTCCATGGATGGACTCGGCGGACATTCCGTCCACCCTCTGGGGGACAGTGCAGGAGGGTTGATGCTCACTCTTGGGTCAAGCCTCTGCTCTATAATTAGTGTCTGGGGAAGACCTCTGAGAACAAAGGCTTTGCTCCTCTCTCACCTCCTTCTCAGTCAGCAAATCCCCTTCATCCTGAGCGCCCCTGGCCTGGGCAGGGCCCAGCCCCCAGAGCTGGACCCAAGAACCTGATGCCGGATGGAGCTGTTCTCTCTGGGGGCTGCCAAGGTAGGCGCCACCAGCCAGGGGCTGCTGAGAGCTGAAATGTGATTAGCGTGACTGAGGAACTGAATTTTAAATGTTAATTAAGCTACATTTAAAAAGCCCTTGTGACTGGTAGGAACTCTTTCACATAGGGGGAACATTAAAGAAAAGGGGGCAGGGCCAACCCTGGTTGCTTACTATGGAGCAGACTCCTTCCCAGCCCGAGGGGAAGAGCCAGGAGAGTGGGAAATGGGGGACACGCACAGGCAGAGATTTTAGTCTAAAGCAGTGGTCGGCAAACTCCTTAGTCAACAGAGCCAAATATCAACAGTACAACGATTGAAATTTCTTTTGAGAGCCACATTTTTTAAACTTAAACTATATAGGTAGGTACATTGTTATTAACTTAATTAGGGTACTCCTAAGGCTTAGGAATAGCCACACTCAAGGGGCCAAAGAGCCACATGTGGCTCGAGAGCCGCAGTTTGCTGGCCACGGGTCTAAAGTGAAGAGGTTCCACAGGGAGAACCAGAAGGCCTGCTGGGACTCCAAGTGAACTACCAGTCGTCCTCTTCGGGCCACCAGAGACCCACGCGCAGGGGCCTTCCCGCCCTTGGCCTGACCACAGAGCAGGCACGTGGTTCTGAGCGTCTGGTCCCCCGTGGGGCACGGTGGCACGGCGGGGCACGCTGGGTTAAGTGCTGACTTGCCCACAGCCTGCTTTCTTTTAGAGTCCAGGCTGCAATCATTGTGGTTTTATAGCTGGAAGGGATGTCAGGGGTCCTGGAGTCCAAGTCCTTCATTTTAAAGTAAGAAAATGGGTGGGGAGAAAAAGGGAGTCCTAATATAAGGTGACAGAAGATTTGACTCTGGGTGGTGGCACACGGTGCAATATATAGATCTTGTAACATAGAAACCCACATCTGAAATCTATATGTTCATGGTGACCAATGTCACCCCAATACATTTAATAAGTAATA